GGGGGTGGTTCTTTCGTGCTTGATTCCGGCGGTCCAGCCAGCCAGCCCGCACAGGATCAGACCTTTTGCGCGGGGCCTGCGCCGCAGCCTGCGCAGCCCCCAGCACAGCCTGCCGCCCCCGCCAGCCAGCCTGCACCCGACCAGCCCGCAAGCTCGTCTGCCGTGCCGCCCCCGCCTGTGCCCGATGTCAAGCGCATGCCCCCCGCCCGCCCGCGGCTACGCACCCAGCCCCGCCCAGATCCGCCCGCCCGCCCGCTTCCCGCCCGCCGGCAAAGGCACGCACGGCAAAGGCGCGCAGGCAGACTGGGTGATCGACATCGATGTGCCCGCGGCAGAATTTTCTGAGCAACGCCCGCCTTACGCCTGCCTGCTCGAATCCGACCTTTGCACGCGCCAGGTCTATTGGACCACCGCGGGGCGTCCGATTTACATCGACGCCTCGCGGAAGGTCCTCTGCGCTGCCCGCTGCGACAATCCCAATTGCCCGCTCGGCCGGCCCGCCTGCGACAAGCCCTTTCGCAAAGGCACCGACCTGGGCCTTGAAGGGCACAAGACCCATCTCTGCTCGCACTGCAAGTCGGGTCGCTGAGCCTGCACCTGCACGCAACGCACCGCCAGCACCAGCCCGCGAAAAAGTCCGCATGCAGTGCCTGTCCGTTGTGCCTTTCTCCCCGCTTGCACCCATACATGCTGTTTCTCATGCTTCCTGCCAGGTGACATCGACACGGCCGAGCTCGAGGACACCAGCACGCCTTCATCATCCAGGTTGGGCTCGGTCTGCGTTGCTCGCAGATACAGGCGTCCTGCACCCGATGCCCCTGCCAGCCTGCCCAGCACAGCCGCTTATGCGGACACAGCGTTTTCTTCTAGCCTGCACGCGGCCGAGCCCGCACTCGACTCGCCTGTTTCAGGTCTGCCCGACTCTCAGCTTGCATGCCCTCCGTTGAGTGCACAGGTGCCCGACCAGCCAGCAGCCACTTCTCCTGCAACGTCGGCGGCTTCCTTTGCCGTTGTTTCCTCTTTGCCTGCGGGGGCTGCTTCCCCCGCGCCTGCACCCAAGTCTGATGCAAGCTCCCCTGCGGAGCGTTCCGCGGCACGCTCGCCAAGCCCGTCCCCAACCCGTGTGCATTCCTCGCATGCCGCGAGAAGCCCGCCCCTTTCACCGACCATGGTGCCTTTGCCCGTGCAGCCGCCTGCCCCTGCCCGGAGTCCTTCCCCACCTTCGCCTGCAAGCTGGCTTCACAGCCCATGCACACCGCCGCCGCGAGGCCCTCATGGCCCGGCTGCCCGCAACAGATCCCGCTCTCCTTGGCGGTTTGCGCACCGCCCTGCCCTCCCTAATGCCCGCCCTAAGACCCAGCACCCTGAGCTCGCCGCACCGCCGCCACCCCTAAGCCTAACAGCCCGCCCTAAAAGCCGTGCCCCGCACAGTGTTGCCAACCTCTGCAAGCACGACCCGCATTGGCCGCAAGCCA